AAATGTTGAATATTCTAACCAACTTTGAAGATTGTATTTTGGGTCTGTGCAGTATTTGACTCTTCCAAAGGTCACAGAAAATTTTATTCCTTTATCACACCTCTATCAATGCTAGTACAGATCTAACCCTACATCTGACAATGTTAGTTCCATAGCCATGACAGATACAAGATATACAGAGAAACTTCTTCAGACACATATATACCACAGATGGAATTTTTCTAAATATTACACTATAAATATTTTAATCTCGGATTTTACAAACAACTCAGAAAACCATGCCTTTTGAAATAATAATATCAATCAAACACAGTATAAAAAGTCTGTGGCTCCTCGAATCCAATTCTTAGGCTGCAGCAGTGCAGCCAGACCAATCTACAAATGGCAAGCTACAAATACTGTCTTATAAAATCTCACTGACATCAGTATAGCCCAATCCTAAAAAATATAGTTTTGTGGAACAAGCTAACTTCCACAAAGAGAATGTAAGTATATACATGTTTTTAGTGCTCAATGTTAAGCATTACCTTTGTGTAAGTTTGGACATGATCCCTCCAAAGTGAACTTCTTTGCAAGACATCCCTTACAGTAGATATGACCTCAAATGATGTTGCTTTCATGACATCATCGTCTTTGTCATAAGGTAAATCCTGCAACAAGATAAACGGCCTAACAGCTAGACATCAATCTAAGAAAGCAATTGTACACTTAATAGTAAAGAAATTTAAGTACATATTGAAAATAAAATGTCTTGCCTTAAGATGATCAACTTTGACAGTTAGAGGATATTCATTCACCTGGTACAAACACATTAGCATCAATCATAAGGGCTTCCCTTAACTAGAATCAGCACTGGTACGGGAAATTAATAACAAAAAGAGTGCAATACATACTGAGAACCAAACAACATTTAAGAGAACTTAGAGAGGCATGCAAACAACAGCCTCATAGGCTCATTGCAGGTCAACGTTAGACCAAGTAGAAGACAATTCAGAAGCACATATATGTACCACTTCTATTTTCATCAAGCTTACCATCTCTGTTATTCGAAGTCTGCGATGACCAATAAGAATAACTTGTTCTCCCTGGATGCTTGAAATCTTTGTGGGAAAATAAAACAGAATCATAAAAATTAGCCAAAGATCAGTATTCTGTTGATTGATTGATTACGGGGAGGAAAAAAAAAAGGAACGGTACCTGAGCCAATGTCCCAACTTCATGCAGCCTATTTAGAAGTTCTTGTCCTTTAAGATCATAAATGTTCTTCTCGTCAGAATCTGGCTCATCTTTGACAAGAAAGGCACCAGCATAGGGAGCTTGCCTTCTTTGACTTTCTGCCAGAGCTGCTAACAATTTGGGATCCTGGAATAAAATATAGGCCATAGAAACCTCCACTTAGACTACAATGGAACTAAAAGCTAAGGTCGATATATCATCTTTGAGTGATAAGTAGAAATAATCAATATAAAAAATTAAAATAAAAATCAAATCAGCAAGGCTACTTGTTCCCTTGATCTAGGTAGCTACTTGAGTGATTGATGGTCACTCATGACTTATGACAACCAAACTTGACTTCACAAATCATCAGTGCAAAACTGCAAACTAAGGACTACATACCAAGAAACTACTCATTTCCACATTCCACCTACTAGTATATGACTTTTGCATTTCCAAGTTTATGTCAAAATGCCAGACCACAACCAATGACTTGCTTTATAGAATAATCAACACTAGTGCTGTTGGCAAGACCGTCTGTTGAACGTACAATAACACCTTTCTGAAGACAAAATTCAAGCCCAGTGAAAGAAATGAAAAAAAAAAAGTGAAACATTCACTCATCGGCGAAACAGTAAAACCCTGTGCACTTATGGCTCAAAATTTATCGAAAAGTTGGTGAGCTGCATGATAATAGTTTTGGAGACATTATTATGAAAGAGAGCAAGATAATAATCACAATCAAAATGCTCACTATACCTTTACATTGACTGGCATGTAGAACCCAGGAAATAGTGGACGGTGAGGAAGCGGTAATGCTAAAACCTGCCAGATATAATCACCATTCAACTTACAAACAAATGGGAAAAACAGTTAAGGGAACATGAAAATGCGTGACAAAAAAAAAATCAATAGACACACATTCCAATATCATTTAAATCACATGGCAATATCAGCCAGCATTATTTTAGTAAGGAAATGCAGTAGAGAGACCTCAAGGGATTCACCCATACACAAAACAAAACTACGCGCAAAAATAGCAGATCATCTGCTTTAAGGTTAACAAGAGATGTTCTTCAAGGAGCACTTAGTTCCAATAATACGAAGGTCAAAAGGTGACTTGTAAGCTTAGTGTGAAAAACCTATGCCCTAAAAAAACTTTTAGAATTTCTCAGCTGACAGCACAAACATGTAGGAGGCAATGATGAATTACAATAAATAAGGCCTGGCACACAAATAAAACATAAGATTAGGAATTTTAAGGGAAAAAAAAAAAAAGTACACTTTCCAAGTGCATTTTATGAGAAATTTGAACTTTCCATGGCTAATATGGAACTGGTAAACATTCACACTGTTTAGAGTTCTAGACTACAATTTTAGGCAGTAGTTACAGTTGCAATTGCAGCACGATTGGCGACTCAGTCATAACGGCACTGTATCATCCATATCGACCATTAGGAAGCAGCTCTTTATAACAGGAAAAACTTTGGTTCAGCAAGTGCTTTAGAAAAGGGGAAAAAAAAATAAAACATAGTTGAGACTGACACAAATTTGCTAATAGATAGGCCTTGCAATTGCTAATATGTAAAAACTCTACTAAAAGACCCTTTATTTATTGGACAATTCAATCACCAATTAAGACCATGGAAGGCTAAATCAGAAAAGCCGATCACAAACAAATTTTAAGCCAATGTAAGTATGAAAAAGCTTGTTCCGGAGTCCAGACATTGTAATGTACTAATTGTAATTCTGCTTTCTTCATGTACTCAACCAAAACTTTGCACTAATAAACACGCATCAGTTTAAAATCTATCAAATTCTCATACACCAAACCATCTTCATCAATTCACTACACACAAACAAACATACATACATAATAATCAATTGTTCAATGATCAACTAAACTCATTCAGCAGCTTCCCAAAATCATTCACATTAATTGAATTACGGAATTACCATAATTCAAAAATTAGAAAATGAGGAGAGTAAAGAGAGAAAACCGTGAAGCACTCGTCGGGGCGAAACACACTGGGGAGAATCGCATTCGGCGAAACGGAATCGGCATCCTCGGCTTCGGCAGCAGCAGCTTTAGCAGCAACTCCGGCATCACCAACCGAGTCAGACCCATCAGAGGATGAAGAATCGGAGCAGAAATGAGCACGGAATACAAAAGGTTTAGGGTAATTGGAACTGCGAAGCGAGTTGAGAACTCGAAGCAATGGCGTAGTTGACTCAGCACAGCTCCGAGCTATGGTGGGTGACCGGGAATGAGATGCGAGAACATTCTGGAATCGAGAAGAGTAAGATAGAACCTTCAACATTTGGGGGTGGAAAAATCAATTGTAAGATTAATTTGGAATTAGGGTTTTTATGGAAGTTGAAGATGAATTGAAGCTATACAGATTACAAAATGGTTAGTGAGAGAAGTGTTATGAGTAGAAGAACATTGTAGAAGGAGAGGATGAAGAAAAATGAGGACTGTAAATTGTTTTAATTCCAAAAGCCCTCCATAAACCCTTTTGTTGTGGTTTAATGTTGATTTCTAAAAAAGTAAATGCCCTAGTGTCTTGTGTCAGAAGATATTGTTAAATTGGGATGTAATTTGAATGTCAAATTTTTCTAATTTTTTTAAAAGCACTTAATCTGTGTTTTTTTTTTAAAAAAAAAAGTTAAAGAAAAATAATCACTAAAGAAAACTTTGTTACAAGGAAATTCCTAATATATATATATATAAAGAATAATAATATAGGTAAATTTATTACGTAGTATTACAAACATATTTACATTACTAAATGGCATACATCAACCGTTAAATCTATAGCGATTTGGCTCTTGATAGATATGCTAATTACTCCTATTGTGAAAATGAGTGAGGAGTTGATAATATGATTGATATGTTAAAGGACTGCCTAATTGTCTTTTACTAATTAAGTTGATGATTGAGAGGTTGTCACCTTCAATTTGAATGTTTTGAATACCACATTGAAGAGCTAGTGGACTCCTTTAAGAAGATCTTTAGCTTCTCTTGTGAATACTTTGGTATAGTCGTGTAGGCGAGGTTAATGCAGATGTTTTGATGAACGTTTCGTCATTATCTTTAATGATGGACTCATGTTGTTGCTAAACTATTGCGAATTGAACCGTCGACTTTAAGTTTAAAGAAGTGTTGAGAGGCGTTTTCCACGATACATGAATAGATGAAGGATAAAAATTTATAAGAAAAATGGTTATGGGATCTCAAAGTGAGAGATCCTATTGAAAAAAGGGTATGTATAAGACTTTTTGGTGCCACTCATTGAATGCAACTTGCACTAAGTGATAAATCCTAAAGACGTAAAAGATCTCATTACGATACGTAATAACATTCTGCTCTTTTCATATACTCCAAATGAGGACAATATATTTCCTTAAAATGTTTGGGTGTTTTTTTAAGTATAATAATAATGTTAAGAGTAAATTTAAAAATGAGGTTGTACTATTTTTTAGTTAAAGGGAAGTTCCAAACTTCTTTGATTCTTGTGCTGTTAAAGAAAATATGATAAACTATTTCATTATGATGATTGCATAGGGGGCAAATATTTAACAGGATAACGAGCAAATAATTAATTAGACGTATGCAATCGTGAAAAGGATTATTCAAGTTTAATTTACACCTAAAATAAGTTTAAATAAATTTCTCTATATGTGTTAAGTTTAATAGAGTTACGTCTTTTACGAGTAATTACGGAGTATTTATGAAATAGAGATAGTGTAAGTTAACAAAACTCATGCTAGTTAAGTGCATTTCCAAAACTAACACCTTCCTTTAGATGCTTACAAGTTACAATTGCAAGTTTGCAACCCCAACCCCTGCATTTGCCTGCGCCGGCGATTCACACAACAGAGACACGAAATAGCCGGGACCCAATTCTTACTGCCCACCGCACTGATCACCGGTAACCTCTGTATCTCTCTATCTACTTGAATTTCATTCGCTGAATGCTGAAATGTATGCAATTTCCCCATTTTTTCGATGTCTAAAATCAGTTAATCGCCACTATAATACCCCTTTTTATTCCATTATATCTCTTCATTATCATGTAAGGTTGTTTAGTACTTCAAATTCTACTCAAATTAATGAAACCCCAGAAAATTTGAACCCAATCTCTGCGATTTCTGAGCTCATAGCTAAGCAGCATTGGAGGGAATTGAAAAGAATTTATTTAAGTAAAACAAACCCTAATGAAATTCTGCAACAATTGATTGATTTTAAATCTGACCCACGATTGATTCTTCAATATTTCAAATGGTTGGAGATGGATCATGAATACTGTGTTTCACATGACACTGAGATGTATTTAGAGGTTTTTCATATGTTAGCTGGGGAGAAATTATATGGGGAGATTAGGAAATTGTTGAATGGGTTTGTGAAGAGAGGGGAGTACTCGAATTCAGAGGTGTTTCATATTCTTTCGACGAAGTTTGCTGATTTTTATGGGATTAATTCGGTGATTGTTGACATGCTGGTTCAGACATGTGTGAAGAATTTGAAGGTGGGTTTGGCGGTTGAGGCGGTTAGAAGAGCTTGGGATTATGGGTTCAGGTTATCTATATTATCGTGTAATCCATTGTTAAGTGCTTTGGTTGATGAAAGGGAGACAAAAGTTATGGAGTACGTGTTTAAAGAGATGATTAGGAGGCGGATTAAGCTTGATATTACGACTTTTAACACAGTCATTAATGGGTTTTGTAAAGTTGGTCAGCTGCAAAGGGCAAATGATCTTTTGGAGGATATCAAATTATGGGGTCTATCTCCGTCGGTTGTCACTTATAATACTCTTATTGATGGGTATTGCAAGATGGCAAGGGTTGGAAGGATGTATAAAGCTGATGCTTTTTTGAAAGAAATGGTGTCAATGGACATCAGTCCGAATGAGATCACCTACAATACTCTTATTGACGGATTCTGTAAGGATCAAAACTTGCCCTCTGCTTTGAAGGTTTTTAAAGAAATGAAGTGCCAAGGATTGAAACCTAATGTTGTCACATATAACACACTGATTAGGGGGTTTTGTAGTGATGGGAAAATTGACGAAGCTTTAGAGATAAGAGATGATATGTCTCTTCAAGATTTGAAGCCAAATATCATAACGTATAATATCCTCATCAATGGCTATGCTAAAAAGGGAATGTTCAAAGAAGCTAGGGAGCTGCTGGAAGATGCTGATAGAATTGGTGTAATTCCTAGTGCTGTAACTTTCAATACTTTGATCGATGCTTATTGCAAGGCTGGGATGATGGATGAAGCTGTTGCATTGCTGAATTTAATGTTGGAGCGGAACATTACCCCAAATGTCTCTACTTATAATTGCTTGATTGGTGGCTTTTATAAAAACGAGGATTTTGGAGCGGCTGATGATATCTTAAAAGAAATGAAAAGTGTTGGGCTCCAAGCTGATACCGTGACATATAACATAAGGATTGGTGCTCTTTGCCAGAAAGGCAACACAAGAAATGCAGCTAAGCTACTGGATCAAATGTTAGAGATGGGTTTGACTCCAACTCATGTGACATATAATACCTTAATTGATGGCTACTGTACTAAAGGAAATCTCAGGGATGCCATGAATATGAGATTAAGAATGGATAAAGCTGGTAAGCGAGCAAATGTTGTGACATATAATGTCTTGATAAAGGGTCTTTGTAGCAAAGGCAAGCTGCAAGAAGCAAACAAGCTTCTTAATGAGATGTTGGAGAAGGGTTTAGTCCCTAACCGGATCACCTATGATATAATTAAGGAGGAAATGATGGAGAAAGGATTTTCTCCTGATATTGATGGACACCTTTATAACCAATCTTCTGTGTCTTAATTGGGCAAGGGGGTTATTGCTTGAGTGTTTTCATATCACTATTTTGTTAGCAGTTGACGGTATTAGATGCTACTTGCTAAACCTTGGCTGCCGAGTTTCCCTATTGAACAGAAACTCACCCGTTGTCAGTGGGGCAAAGAAGAAGAAGATTACATGGGCCCCACAGCCCCCACCATCTTGTTATCGGACCCTGGATTATGTCACTGACTTTTAGGTTCTGTTATCACTCTCTTGGTTGGCAGGCTGGCAGCAAGAAGCTGATGCATGAAAATTTTGCTATTTAACAGACGGGTTCTTAACCTGGAGATCAATCCTCTTATCGTACTTGGTTACAGAGGTACAATCAGCCTTTTGCTCTTGTTCCTAGTGTATATCTTTTTTAATTAATTATTGGTGCTAGACGCCATTGTCTCTTTTAGTCCATGCTTAAAAGTTGGAATGAGGGGAATTATACAGAACTTGATTTTCTTCCATTGTTGAGTATGTACAAAGTTTCCTTTCAATTTGTCGAACAGTCAAACTTGATTCCAGTCTGATGCATGCAATTATTGTTGAATTCTGGTGCTGTGATTACTGTCTTAATGACTAAAATTGATGCTGATTATCACTTATCAGGTTTGGTGAAGCACAATCAACTGGATCAAGTCTTCATACCCAGAGTAGTGTTCCAATAGGGATGACCGAGCTTGTTAAAAATACTCAATTAGGGCTGAGGACTGCTTAAATGCTGACGGTTTATTAGTTAGAACGGTTAGAAGTATTATCTTGCACCTTTACATCCGTAAGTTTGTCAGGTCAAGTCATGAAGTATGAAGATAAGATTTCATCAGCCATGGAGGAAAACCTCATTGTCGTGAAGTCTTCATCTGTGGTACTACTAGATGCATGTATGAGTTCCCATCATGACATCAATGATATTCAGACCCTCATCACCTTTGAATATGATATGGAGTGTATTGTACAGCAAGCAAAACACTATTGGTCAGAAATGAGAATTTAGTAAACCTCAAATTTGGTATCTATATCAAGTATTCGCCAAGCCCTAGCTACTACATTGAACATATTGTAATAGCTAGAGCTTGGTGATGGCTTGGCAAGTCATTCAAATGTGCCGCATTTTAGCTACCTTGTATCTCAAATAAGAAGTTGCCTCATTTGTTGGTTGATTTAAGGTAATTAGAATATTTGTGTTTTTGGGAATTTGGGATGTAACTCATGCAATTCATTAAAAGTTGATTGAAATATTACCTTGTTGAGCCCTTGAGTTGATATTTTTTACAACCAAAATAATCTTATTTTATCTTCATCTGGTATGTCAATTTACGTCAACCTAATTTGTTACAAAGTATTTCGTATATGTTATTTGCCTCCCATCAATAAAACTAAATCATATTTCAATTTTGAGATGTCCTTAAATTACTCAGTAATCTTACAATTGTACTCGAGCAAATCTATTAGGTGCGTAAAACAAATGAATACATAGAGATTAGAGAGTATATATCAAGGTTTATCATAATATTTGATTTTCAAGCGATTAAAATATCATGTAATCAGATGTAACTCATAAAATTAGGACAATGAGTGATTGAGTGGACAATTAATAACTTTCACCCATGAGAAAATATGAAGGTTCTTTTTTTTTGTTTTTTTTTTTTAGAAATATGAAGGACTTTATGTAATTATTACTTGAAGTTTTTTAAGGTTTTGGAGTCTTAACCAAAATATTAACCAATTTAGTTTTGAAGTTTTTTAAGGTTTTGGAGTCTTAAACAAAAGTATTTACCAAAATAAGCTTCCAGGGTAAAACGCTGCCTCGGGCAGCGTTTTACCCTCTATTTTTTTTTTAAAAAAATTCTGCTAGAAAAACGCTGCCTGGGGCAGCGTTTTTCTAGTTTGACTTTTTTTTTTTTAATTATGTAATTTCTGATTTATTAAAAAAAAATAAAAGCACTATAAACGCTGCCCGAATTTTTTTTTTTTTTTTTTTTTTTTTTTTTATTGTATATAAAACGCTGCCCGAGGCAGCGTTTTATGTACAAAAAAAAAATTGTACATAAAACGCTGCCCGTGGAAGCGTTTTATGTACAAAAAAAATGTACATAAAACGCTGCCCCAGGTAGCGTTTATGTACACTTACATTTTTTTTCCAACTTCAAAAATAATTTGTACAGGGGCAGCGTTTTATGCTGTTTTTCTTTTTTTTAAGTTTTTTTAAAAGTTTACGAGAAAAAAAAGTCAAACTTAAGAAACGCTGCCCGAGGCAGCGTTTTACCCTGGAAGCTTATTTTGGTAAATATTTTTGCCACGCAACCACTTTGGTTAATATTTTCGTTTGGAAGCTTACTTTTGTCAAACGTCCTCTTCTCCCATACGCGTCGTTTAGTTACGACCTTGAACATCCACGGATAACAAACGACGATTCTTTGGTCAGTGGTCAAGCGTTCATTCCCACTGATTAGGCTACGCTTTACAACCTTCCGTGTTCATTCTCTATTTGATGAGCAAAATTCTTCCTTCATTAACAAGTTTACTCGTTTAATTTTTACCCTTTTTCCAAATATAATCTGCAATTAATTAAACAGCAATTATAATTATTAAATTGTTTGATGGAATTCTGAGATAAAAGTGTTCATCCATGGATTTTGATTTGAATATGAAGAGAACTCAGCTTCTTCTTTTCGTTGCTGGAATTATCGTTCTCAGCATTGCAGGTATAATTTCTGCTTTTAATTTTCCCTTTTTTTGGTTTTGTTTTTATAAAATTTGTTTTACATTGTTGATTATATGATTAAATCTTGACTGGGTTATTGTGGGCGATTTCATTTTTGTATTATTTATTTAATTAATTTGATCTGATTGGAGGGAGGGTTCTATAGATTAGGTTTATTGATTTTTAATTATTATATGATGATAATATTATTAGAAGAGCTTGAATCTGAGTGGCCTTGGACTGGAGTTGATTTAAGGGCTCTTATTATTATAGTTCTTGTGATGATAAAATGGAAAATAGGAGGAGATCATACAAATGATTGTAAGGGGGTTGTTACATGTATTAGGGGTGTAAGTGAGTCGAGTCGAGTCGAGTTGTGTATTATTATGCTCTGTTTAAGCTTATTGAACTTAGTTGTGTGGCTTTAAACTCGAGATTGCGTTTCAATCAGAGCCTGATAACTTGCTGGAACTTTTAGATTAGTTTCGGTTTAGTAATTAGTATATTTGAGCACGGTGTATGTATTGAATAGGGTTTAGTCCTATACTCCTATAGCTAGTTTTGTTCTTAATCACTTGTTTGGTTATACTCTAGCACCAAAAAAAACTTGTGTGATTATACTAGCTTGTTTAGTCGTGAATCGTGATAAATTTAGATGCAAGTATACATATCTTATGAAAACAATAAAATACACAGCTTATAATAGAGAAGTTTGAACCGAAGTTAATATATTTATGAATTCCAAAAACAAATTTCAAGATCTAAATGATTCTTAATGATCTTTTTAATCAAGCATAATTGAGCTTTATATCTAACCATTATTCATGGATAATAAATGAGGTTTTTATGAATGTGAATGGTTAATCGTGATCATAAATGGAGGAGCACTCGTATAATCATAAGGGTTCTGTTGGAGGCAGACAGGCAGTTGTGTGTCTAGTATATTTACTTGTATGTGCACGTTACATGAGAGATAAATAAAGGAGGGAGAGGGATACTGAGAAAGAGGAAGTTTAAATAATCAAACAATGAAGGGGTATATATGCGTTGCTAACTTGCTGTGAATTGCTACAGTAATTTATCAAAGTATACCACTACCATGTAAATCCAACCAGTATTTATCTATGAATTGACAGTCTAGGAAGTTTCTGATTTGGACAGCTTTATTCCTTGTTAGTCAAGATTGTCCAAAAAGCCGTTTTATGTAACCAACTAATTGATCGTAATATCTATAGTAACAGCAGAGTAAGAACCAACACAAGGAGCAAGGGAAAGAGCTTTATTGAGTTAACGACCAATAGGCAGTGCAGCTTACTTTCTAATTAGCTTTTGCGACTTTGCTTCATTATTTTGGACATAAATAAGAATCTTTTGTAAAATAAGTTTCTGTTGCTAGTTTGGGACCTTTTGGGAACAAGGGATGAGAGATAGGGTCCTGCAAGGTTGTCAAGAATGCATCTTTGAGATGAATGTTAAAAACTATATTCATGTTTTTTTGGCTGGTTAAAGTTGTAGCATTTCTTTCAAGCATCTCTGCTGGGGTCAATTATTAGTCAACTTACCATATTTTCCGTCTCCATTGTTTGATTATTTAAAAAGAGTATGGCAGTGAATACTGAGGAGTAGATTCAGTTGAATCTCAGAATAAATTATTAGCTGCTCAAAATCAGGAATAACCGGCAGGTTACCGAAACCTTAAGAAGCTACTGAGCAGAAATTTATGGAAAATTGTAGCTATCTTTGAAATTCAAAAGAGGCCTTATAGATATGACTGTCACAAAGTCCCTTGGCTCTATTGCTCTAGTATCACTGAGATTTGATAAATTTGAAACTGTTTATCCGTCATTATAGTTGGCAATTTTTTCCTGCAGAATGCAAGTATCCTTGTAGAACAACTTGGCCATTTAATTGTTTTAGATGGATCATCTTTTATTTTATCTGCATTTCTTTTTGTCAAGAACATCATAAATCACTCTTGTACTTTGCAGCTGAAAAAAGCAGGAAGCTGGTGGGGGAAGAAGCAGCATCCAAGAGTGGGCAATTTACTTTCCTGAACTGCTTCGATTTGGGATCAGGTTCGTTAGCATGCTCAGTTAAGGAGGGTGTGAAACTCTACGTCAACAGTTTTCAATCTGCTCATGTTGAGTTAGCCAGGAGCCGAGCAATTGAGAGTACACTGAGTGATGCAATGTCACAGGGATTGCAAGCCAAAGTTGCTGCTAATCAAGCCGCCAAAGAAGGAAAAAAGGCTGCAAAATTAGCGTCCCGACAGGCTAGGCGGATTACAGGACCAATCATATCTAGTGGGTGGGACTTCTTTGAAGCCATTTACTTTGGAGGTACAATGACTGAAGGCTTTCTCAGGGGAGGCGGGACCTTGGTTGGGACCTACTCTGTAGGATTCCTTGGGGAACAGAGGTTTGGGAGGTTTGGCTACCTCGTTGGAAGCCAAGTGGGAAGTTGGGTTGGAGGAAGAATAGGGTTAATGGTCTACGATGTGGTGAATGGTGTCAACTACTTGCTTCAGTTTAGTCAAAGTGAGGTGAGTGAAATTTATGACCCTCAAGACGTTTATGCATCTCAAGACGTTTATGAATCTCAAGAAGGTTATGAATCTCAAGAAGTTTATGTATCAGAAGAATTATAGGATTCACATAATTTAACTGTCTGGCTTTTACCTGATCAAGATTAGCTTAGCAGAGATGCAGAGCTGGAACTTGAAGCCATTGTAATACGATTCTTTTGCTTGCATTTTGTGTCAATGATAGATAGATAGATATATTAATACCAAATATGAGATATCCCTTACTGGAAAAAAATTATATTGTAAATTCACTAAGTATTATATTACTCTGTGATCAGTAGTTACTGAAACAACTGGATGTGCAACTCTGAAATTTACTCCATACAGACTTTAGAAAAACTAAGCCAGAGACCTGGAACTGTGATGATATGAAGGTTATGGAAAATTTGCTGTTAGGAATTTTTAAGGTGAAGTTGGATTTTTTGCTATACTATAGTGTTAAGAAGATTCAGATATTACCCCCTCCCCTTTTTTTTTAAGAACTAGAAACAGGAAATTAGAAATAAAAATAAAAAGTGAAATATCATGTACAACAGTACAAGTGCTTTACAGTAAACAATTTGTTACAATATTATGTGTTTGTGTACTGGAAATAAATGAATTCAAAACTTTTAATAATTGAACATATGAAGACAGCAATCAATTGATATAAAAATAGTGATAATTGTCATTTATCAAAGATTTTAGTCCTGCTGTTACTCATTGCACAATATCTTGTTTCCAAATTATAAGTTGACAATTTAATGAAAATTCTTGGTTCAGACGGTCTGAGTAGAAACTTTTGTCGAGTTTTAGTATTATTCATACGCAATATAAAGTGTAATTAGGAAATCTTTTGAAGTGCCTCAAAACATAAATACATCCCTTAACATACCTTTATAATTATACGAGTACTTCATATATCGTATCAAGCTTAGGATCTGTTCATTCAATTTTTTCTTTCTATATTCTAAAATTTGATA